AACCCGGGGCCCCGCCTGCCCCACTGGGCAGCCTGGGCTCCGAGCAGGCAGCAGGGCGGGCTCACAATGGCTCCTCTCCTGGCAGGAGCGCCGCCTAGGGGCCGGGGTTCCACTGCTCAGGCTGAACCCGGGCGGTCACCTCCTCTCCCGGCCTCAGTTTCTTACCTGAGCAATGGGGCTCCTCATCTTTGGTAGGATCATTACCCTGCTCTGAGCCGTCCGTCACAGCACCTGCTCACTACAGGTCTCCCCCATCCATAGAAGGGAGACTGAGGCCCAGCAGGGAAATGTTTTGTCCACCATCTCCAGCGGGGTTGGACTCCGGGCCTGGCCTCCTGAGTCCCATGCCTCCCCGATGGCCCCGGCTGGGCACTGGCAGCTGCTGGTGTGAGAAGGGCAGGAGGATGGAGGCCCAACTTTGGTGGCTACCCGGAGACCTGTCCCTCCCCGGCCAGAGCAGGCTTCTCAACGCTCCATGGGGACCAGCCCCCGGGGGGCAGGGCGGCCAGGAAAGCCTCTGTGAAGCACGTTGGCTCTGGGCCCCCAACCCATGTGCCCCTCTGGGCTGCGGGCCTGGACTCACCTCTGCCTTGTGGAGACGGGAACCAACCACAGTCCCACAGGTGGAAGCAGCTTTTTCCAGCCCCGCTGGGTGCTGTGCACCGTGCCTCACGGGCTTTGGGCCAGAGTGTCCGCGGCAGTCCTGCCAGGTCAGGGCAGGGCCCCAGGTGTCCAGGCAGGGAGGGCCTGGGGGTCAGGCTCGGGGACAGCTGGGCCAGGCCGTCCAGCGCGGGGTGGGATAGGGATGTCCGGGCACTCCTGGATTCAGACCCAGGGGCCCTAGTGGGGTAGAAAGCCCCTCAGGGTGGGGCTTGGGCCTGGTAAGTGTCATCCGTGAATGACTGCACGAAGTCCCCTCCCCGGGATCCCCAAATGCCCAGGGCTTGGCCACCCACCCGGGCAGCTCTGACCTGCCCTTGGATTTTCACCTTCAAGGACACGATGGTGCTGACCTTCCTGGTCCCCCGGCCTGGAACTGGGCCCATAGCCCTGGCGTCCTGGCCCCCATAGACGTGGCCCCAGGCCAGAGCTCCGAGGGCTCCAGCCCCCGCCCCTGCCAGGTCTGTGCCTCTGTGCCACAGTCCCTTCGCACGGAAGTGACCCAGGAAGTGGCGACTTCAGAGCCTTTTCTGGATGACCAAGGTCTTGTACACCTCATCACAACGGCTCTGGGAGGTGGAGACGTCTGTCCTCATGGTGGGGACACGGAAACTGAGGCCCAGAGAGGGCGGGACCCGGCCTGCCCCACCTCCCGGCCCAGGCTGAGCGCACAGTAGGCCCTGCTGCCCAGCCCACCCTGGGCATCCCTACTAAGCACCCGTGCCGCCCTCGCTTCTCCCACCCCAGCCTTCTGATGTGATCAGCTTGGGGGAGGCGGCCTGGGCATAAGGATTCCGCGAGGCTCCTGGTGATTCTGCGTGTAGGGCATCGGGACCCGCTGCAGCGCGGGCTGCAGGGATGGGAGGGACAAGGGACCGGAAGGACCAGGGTGGGCTTTGCCCCAGCACTTCCAGCAGGGGGCAGTGCCACCTCGCACCTGGGGCAGCTTGGCCCCGAAGCTTCTATTCTGAGGCACTCAGCGCACCCTTCTACAGGGGTCCCTCTTAACGGGTGGGGGCTGGGCTGGTCCTGCCTCTGGGCCCCGTCACCCGACTCAGAGCTCCTCCCAGGGGCTCTGTCTGCATCAGGGAGGCTGCCCCGGGGCTGCAGCCCCTTCCCAGCCTCCTGTGGGTTCTCCGGGCGTCCATGTAGAAGGCTTCTGCGGCTGGGTGGGGTTGGGGGGGTTGAAATGGCCAGTCCACTCTGACACTGAGTCCTCGAGGTCACCGGCAGTCGGGACGCCTCCCCTAGGGACAGGACGGATGGGAAGTCCACAGCCAGCAGGCTGGCCGTTCCCCGCGTGGACCCACAGCCACACTGGCGCGTAGTAGGGCAGCAGCCTCTCCTCGTTCTGGCTGGGGACGACCCACCACTGCAGGGGAGCCCCCGCGTTCGGGGGCAGATGGGATTCTGTGTGGGCAGCAGGGGCTGAGGACTGAAATCGTGACAAGGCCGCTCTGCCTAACCCTCCATATTCCGGTCACTTCCTGCCTGAGGTCTCAACTCTCCTGACCATCTCTGCAGGGTTCTCGTCACTCTGGGTACGGCAGCCCTCGGGCCCCGTGATGACACCTACTCTTCTGTCCTCTGCATCCTCTGCTGGGCATCGAGGCCTCACTGGGGGGCTCACCCCACCTTTCCAGGATGTCCCCCCCATTTCCCACACATGCCCTTTCTCCAATCACACTGCCTGCTTGCTGACGGCAGGGCCAGCCCTTTCCTGTCACTGGGCTCCGGCACCCAACCCAGAACCTGTTATCTAAGGAAGCTCAGCACGGTTCCATCCAAAAACCCCCCACCCAAACCTCACCCCTCAGGTTACAACCCCCAAGCCCTGCTGACTCATCCTGTCACCACCTGATCCTTCTGGTGATAAACTTATCAAGCCCAGCATCTCTGGTCCAGGGGGACCGCCCTGGGCAGGAGTCACCATGGCAACTGGAGGCAGCAGAGAGGCCAGAAGCCAGGTTGCCAAGCGATGCCCGTAGGCAGCCTGGGTCTCCGCTTGACTGGAGGCTCGCCAGGGGCACAGCTCTCCTCAAGAAGCCAGGTGTCAGAGCCCTGCCCACCCGGACTCACCCACCTCTCGGCCCCCTCCACCTACTGGCCCCTCTGCTGCTGTCCCTCCGGGGTGACATCAGCCCAGGTGTGCTCCCTGGAGCCTCTGTCCTGGACGTTTGGGGGATGCTGGGCCTGGATAGGTCCTCGGTCACTGCCCTGCTCGGCCTGGGAACCCACCTCTCCCTGCTCTTCCCCTGAGACCCCCGTGGCCCCTCCTCGCCCTGTAGCCATTGCAGCCATCCCTCCTCAGGGCCCACTTACACCTGTGACCCCGCACCCTGCCCAAGACACCCCTGCAGGATCCATCCGTGGAGGCCGGGCCCAGAGCTGGGCCAGGGTAGCCAGTGGGCCTGGGCATGTGGAAGGCAGGGCAAGGGGCCCTCAGTGGATGGCAACCCTCCAATTCTCCAGGCCCCCCAGGGCTGACCCACTTTCCAGACCAAGATGAGGCCCCCACGGCTGGTATTATTTGAGCTTTTATGACAGGAAACCAGAGCAGGCCGGTCCCAGCAAGGCCCGGAGGCGGTGGGAGGCTGTCTCCCTGTGCCCGCCCCTTCCAGGAGGTCCAGGCTGAGCTCTGGTGGGCAAGGCCACGCCCTCACTCTGGGGAGGCCCTCCCAGGCAGCTGCAGACCTGGCAGCGGTCCCGGCGGCAAGGCCTCCGCGCCCTGCGCTTCCAGAGTCCCACTGGCATGGCCTGCAGCCCTGGTAGGGACGGGAGCCGCTGAGTTTGTGAGGTGGTGTGCGTGCACGTGTGTACGAGCGTTTGTATGGGTGTGAACACGCGTGTCCCCATGTATACTGTATGTGCACGAGCACATCTTAGGGGGGTTACCAGGGGAGCCCCTGCCTCTTGGGCCACAGGCCTCGTGGTGAGATTCACGCCCTCCTGCCGGAAGCCACCTTTGCCCTCGGTACCATGTGGCCGGCGCCACCGTGCGGGACTCTGGCCCTCAGGGTTCCCAGCTCCAGGAAACCCCCGGGGCTCCCTGGAGGGTGCCTGCTGGCTGGAGGTGCACGAGAGGGTTCGGGGACCATCACCAAACTGCGGCCCAGCCCCCGGACAGCATGGGGACGAGAGGGGGAAGGGGCGTCGCTACCTGCTCCCTAATGGGGCAGTTCGATGACGTCACTCATTCTGTGGCTGTGTGTGAACCTCCCGCCCGTTCAAGCCAGTGTGGACACCGGGGCTGGGCTCGGCCCACACCTGGCCCCTCGGACGCTGAGGGCAGCCCTCTCGGGAGGCCTCTGGACGGGGCCCAGACCCAGAGGCAGGCTCCCAGGAGCTCTGCGATCGGAGCAGACCCGGGAGGAGAAAGGGCCCGGGGGGGCCCAGGGCGCAGCCTCACCATCCTGGACAGGCCGACACCGCCGTCCGGGGTGCAGTTGGGGCACCTGGTGTGGACCCGGCCCAGGTCAGGGCGAGGCCGGCAGGCCCTCCCCCTCCAGGGTGGCCGGAAGCCCCCGGCGTGGCTGACTTCCAGACCGACAGGAAAACCCCATCAGCACAGAGGCAAACTGAATGGGGATGTATTTTTAAACACTCATGTTTTGTTTGTTTCTCCTCTCACGTTTGGCTTTGAGTTTCTCTTTTCCACAATTCTAACACCATTGTTCGTGCATCCCCGGCACCTGCGGCCGCGAAGTTTTCGAGAACAATCACGTGGGGAAGTAATTTCACAGTCACAGAGTCTCGGGAAGGCCAGCTGGCAACAGGGACAGAACAGAGCAAGGCTTCAAAATTACTCGAAAGGGGAAGAAAACCCTTGAAAGTTTCAGGCCCACCTTCCTGCCCCAGAAAGAAAACATCTGTGTGCAGCGGTTTCGTCTGAAGCCCGTGCCCCGTCCCGAGAGCTCCCTCCTCCGCTCCACCTTGCGTGCCAACGTTGACTCAGAAAGCTTTCGCCTCAATCTCTAAAAGCAGAAACAAAACAAGTCCCCCCTCCCCGCCACATCCTCCAAGTATACATGAGGGATAAAATTACATTTGTACAAAAATAGATTTTTTTCTACCTTTCCCGATGCTTTAGACACCTCTCTTCCCTGTACGTATTTGTCATCCTCTCTAAGTGTGAGCTACGCATCCCGGCTAAGGCATTCTAAGGACTGGGAACGGCTAAACCTGTTTGCTCCAAAGCATCTTAAAATAGATGCATCTCCTTGCCACGAGATATCCATTCGAACCCGGATTTCACCAAAGGAGGGGTCCTTACGTACTTGCTTACATGAAGCAAATCTGTAGGAAAACGGGGGGTGGGGGTGGGGGGGAGGAAAGTCTTGATTAAAAATAAACAGAAAACGCTGGTAACTGGTACGTGTGTGTGGATGGCAAGCAGGTCTGTGCACACAGGGTCTCTGTACAGCAGGTACATTGTACACCACACACCTGCGTGGGCAGGGACCGAATTCCATGATGGGGACGACATCAGCTGATTACCCACCGGCTGCACGTTCCAGCCGGTGGAGGAAGCTCGGCATGGTCTCCGGCACTGGCCACCGGCCTGCCAGCCCGAATCCTTCCGGAACACGGCGAGTGTGGCGCCGTCTTCCCCCCCCCCCACCCGGGGGACGAGAGGGCCAGGGGCTGACCCGGGAGTCATCCCCGGGCAGGCCAGCTTCCAAGGAGACGCCTGACGGGGGACGAGCCGGAGTCTGGCTTTGCCAACACCTTCCAAACCCGGGGCGTGGTCGTCTTCACTCCTCGGCCTCGGGAGGCCCACCTGATGTCCAAGCAGGGAGGGGACGTGCCGGAAGCGTCCAGCAGGCGGGGACGGGCACAGGATGGCTAATGAGCTGACGTTAGTGCTATCTTTAGAAAATTAAAGATTGTCCCACCAAAATAATAATAATAATAATAATAATTACAAAAAATCACCTTAGTTGAACCAGATTGGTAATACTACTGAAGGTCTGGTTAAATAAAAATCCTACCTCTCTACTGAGTAATGTGCCGTTTCCCCACCATCATCTTTCAAACAAACAGCACTGCATGACAACATCGATGACAGCGGACCGAGGAGAAGATGAACGGGCAGCCCCCAAGCGCCCGAGATGCTGCCGTGCCGGCGGGGCCACGGAAGGCTGAGCGGCGAGGGGCCAGGGAGTTTCCGGCTTTGGGAGGGGGTGGCCTGGGGACCTCAGTGCTTTACGGGCAGTCAGCCCACGAGGCCGACCCCCCAGCAAAGCGCTCCATCCTGGGTCTTTCCCACTGGAGCCATCACGTTCCCGAGGGGTCCGGGGCAGCGGGAGGGGGCTGGGCGTGGACAGGGTGCATCTGGCTACAGAAGGCACCGGGGTGGCGGGCCGGGGGGCGGTCCACGTTCCCAGGGGGAGGGGGTCCCAGAGGGAGGCCCCTGAGGGTGCCGGCGTCCCTCTGCCTGACACAAGCATGCCCCCAAAGGGTGCCAAGACTTGCAGGAAGAGTCTGGGAAGAGGGACAACTAGGCAGGCGTGGGCTCGCCCCATCTCTGCCCCAGATGGTGGACGGGGCTGGGGGTGCCTGTGTGGCAGGGGACGCCTCGCCTGGGCCACCACGTTAAGGGCGGGGTGGGGTGCCAGAGAAAGGACGTGTTTGTGGAAGCTTCCACATCTTCTGTCCAGGCGCCTCACGCTTAGCTCGGGCCAGACCCTGGAGGGCAAAGAATGGACCCCGTCCTCCCTAGAGGCCTGGAGGCCGGCATCTCCCCTTCCAGCCCCAGGGGCACCCTTGCAGCACCCGGGGGAACAGACTCGGGGGGAGGGCATCCACAGCCCCCATGCCCACCCCCGCTCTGGGGCCTCTCTGGTGGGGAGTGGTGGGAAGAAGACAGGCACCGCAGAGCATCCCCTTCATGGGAGGAGACAGGACTCTCCTCCCCAACCCCTACCCCCGGCCCAGTTCAGGCCCCCCCCGACTGACAAATGCTGGGTTCATGGAGTACGAGGCATGCGAATGGAAAGTACTCAGACCAAAGGGAGGGCATTACAGTGCAAAAGAGGCCAGTTCAACCTGAGAGACCCTGCCCCCGCCCCCGCCCCAGGGGCAGAGGGCCTGCCTGCCTGGGGTGGGTGAAAGGTTCAGGGGTGGGTGCAGGGCTGGGTGGGGTGCCCTCAACCAGAGCAGGTGTTGATGGAGCTCCCACAAAGGGCTCCATCAGCCGGCCAAGACAACAGCCGGGCTGGCTGTCCCCGAGGGGCATCCAGCCCCGGCCCAAGGGTGCTGGCACTCAACGGTCCCTGACCCCAAGAGTCCTCTGGACAGAACAGCCAGCAAAGGGGCCTCTCTACCCAGAGCGTTCCAGAATGGACCATCTGCCCCCTGCCCCGAGCCATGCGCCCACAAGTCCCTCCTTCGACGTGCACAGCTGCCCGAGGACCCTCTGGGGAAAGTGACTCTCCTCTCCTCCCGTCCCTGTGGGCCTCCTTGGTGATGACCTCTGCCCTTGAGAGGTCAGCAGAGCCCAGGTCGGCATGGCCCTCCAGTGCTTCCAGGAGGGCCAGAGACCAGGCTAGCCCTCCAGGACTGGGGACTGGGGTCAGCCTTGGCCCTGGGCACAGACTGCAAGATTTGGGGGCGGGGTGGGGGTTGGTTACCCAGGGCTGGACAGGACCATGTGGGACAAGAAGCTGAAACCAGGACGATGCAAAGAGAGAAATGAGGTGGGGTGGGGTGGGGTGGGCAGGTGACTCCAGTCCCTGCAGCCTGGAGGTGGCCCCAAACCCTGCACAGAGGGCAGCTTCTGTTCTGACTGGCTCGGGGACAAAGCCGAAAGCCATCTTTGGAAACAGGGGTTGCTCACCCTTCATTCTGAGGGGAGACAAGGCTGCTTGCCCCAGAGCCCCTCCCGTCTTCCCAGGGGGCTGGTGGAGTCTTTTGCAATGAAATGCCAACCCCCCCACCTGTCCCCTCCTCCCGATTGTGGGTGAGGCCGGGCTGGCAGGTTGCCAGCACACACAGGAGGCAGAGGGATCCCTGCAAACAGAGGACCTCGCGACAACAAAACAGCGACGGAACAAAGCCACCCTCTGACCGCTGCAGCTCCGGGGGCGGGGGCCTGAGACCCCGTGAGCCGCCCGGGCTCCCCCGGGGCTCACACCAGTTCCTGCCACTCCGGCTGCCACCCCAGCATGGCCACTGCCCGGTCCAGTCGAGTAGTACTGAAGATGACGAGGGTGGCAGCACATCTCAGGCTTAGCAGTGACAGGCCACGCCCCCAAGTCCAAACATCCAGGCAGAGGAGGGGCGGGGCGGGCTCGGCTGAGAAGAGCTGCTGGCAGCCGGGCGGGGCGGCCGGACCGGCGGGTGCGAAGAACGGCCGGGGGCCTAAGTCATTTGGTGCGGGGCTTCCAGCATCTCCATGAGGAAGGTGTCGATGGGCGTGTCCCCGATGAGCTTGAAGAAGAAGAGGTGTTCCAGGCACTTGAGGCCGATGGAGCGCAGGGCCGGCAGACGAAGTAGCAGCTTTGCAAACCTGCGGGACGGGAGCCGCGTGAGGGGCGGGCGGGGCGGGCCCTCCCACCCTCCGTCCCGGCGCCCAGCGGCCCCCTGGGGAAGGGACCAGGCTCACTGCCCCATCCCCCTGAGGCTGCCACAGCAGGAGCCCCCCAGGGTGGAGATCCAGGATGAAGGTCCAGTGGCGAGACAGTGGCCGGGCTGGGGCAGGCTGGACGGGGCTTCGTGGGGAAGCTACGACACGTGAGCTTTCTCCAGCGCAAGAGGGAGCCACGGTAGGATTTTAAGCAGGAAGAAGGGCTACGAGAAGAGATCTGAGTACCAGCAATGCCCCTGGCTGCAGGGGCGCCAAAGGTGAAGCCGTTCCTGAGCTGGGAGCAGGTCTGAGCGCCAACAAGCCCTTCTCAGCAAGGACCAGCCTCCAGGGCCCCACGCCAGGGCCCACCTTCCCCAGAAAGAGCTCGGCCAGAGGCACCTGATGCCCAGACAGGGCGGGTGGCAGAGAAGGAGGCGCCTCGGTCCGTGCCCACCCCCTGGGGAGTTTCTGGGGAGGACGCTGGGTGGGGGAGGAACACAGGAAGACATTGGGAGCCTCTTGGAAAAGGGACGCCAAGCTTAGTGGCCCTGCTGCCAAGGACAGTTGCCGTGGGGGGGGTGACGGGGCCACATGCCCCTCCAGTGACATCCACATCTGTCCCCCATGCCGTCCCCATCCCACGTGCTGCCTGGTCTCTCCACATGCCCCTCCAGGGGCCCCAGGGCCTCATTAATTATTAACAGTGTCTGTATTTCGGGGGAAAAGCCCCGTGCTTGGCTGCAACCCTACCCGCGTTTTAAAGGCAGAAACGCAGCTTAGAGGCTGGAACGGGGCCAGAGAACGAGCTGTTTTCTGCTGAGCTGGCGAGATGGGCTAGGGCGGGAAGCCAGGAAAAACAGGCGGGCCTGCCACCCCTCCTCTCATCCTCCTCCGGGAAGTTTCACTCTAAACCAAACCAGATGAGGCTGAGCAAGACAGTTAACCCTGTGTGGCCCGTGCGTGCCAGTCGGCGGGGCGGCCAGCGGGAGAGGGAGGGGGCAGAATCAGGACAGCAGATTTGGAATGCCGTGAAGCCACTGATGCTTCCCCTTCTCCTGGACGCCCACGGAGCGCCCGGCACTGTGGACCCAGAAAGGAGACAATTCCAGCCCTTCCGGGGCCCACAGTCGGCCAGGAGAGACGGGCAGGTCTGCAGACCACGGCCATCTACTCTGCATACGCCTATAAACCACCTACTGTGTGCTGGCGTCCTTCCCTGCTAGGGGTGAGCACGCCAGGCCCCTACCTCTAGCGGTTCCCTTTGGCAGGCGGAGGAAGGCACTGACTTCGTTCACGTGCTTTACAGCGACAAGCACCTACTGTGTGCCCGCGCTGGGCCCGTCTTTTTGGTGGGGCTACAAGGAAGCGTGAGAGCGTGCCCGCTGAGGCCGGGAGAGCGCCTCAATCCCCCACTGCCCTGGGTGAAGGCAGGGTGTCGCCTTCTAATCCACAAGAGGGTCTGAAGAGCTGGTGGCGGGGTCCTGCCCCGGGCGGGGGGTCTGCAAAGAGACCCCGAGGTCCGTCCAGGCAGAGGCTAGGCCGAGGCTCACCTTCCTGGCTGCTCGGGGTACTTGTGTTTGCAGTACGCCTCCAGGGACGCGTAGACCTTCTCGCGAAGCGTCTCCACCTCGGCCGGGTTCGAGAGCCCCTTGGAGTCTGTGAGGGAGCAGGGGCCGCAGGTGAGAGCCCTGCCCGGGGAACCTGCCCCAGGGGCCGAGAGCCCCGACTCAGACGAGGCTGCTCGAGCCCTGGCCCTGCCGCTTGCTTGCTGGCCACTTGACCTTGGGCCAGTCCCCTGACCTCCTGCCACTCAGCCCCATCTGTAAAGTGGGACGGGCCTGCCCCCGGGGTGGCTCCTGGTTACCATGGCAACCGCGTGGCCTCCAGAGGCCTCTGCTGCATCGGGTCTCAGCCCCCTGGAGCGAGATGAAGGCTCCAAACCCTCTTGTACCTGAAAGAGCCAGACCCACGCTCTGGGGGGCCCTGAAGCCATCCGGAGCCCTGGGACCCTGGCGGCAGGAGTCCAGGCTGGAAGGCTCTGCCTGTGGACGGAGATCCCCGGGACCAGCGTCGCCAAAGCCCCCAGGGCCCAGGGGTGAGGCTTAGAAGCACGGGCCGCCCGGCTCATCCTGGTGAGCCGTCACAGGCCTCTCTCCGAGGCACTGAGAGCCCCCCGGCCGGGCAAAGCTTTGCTAATAAGCGCCCTGGGCTTCTTCATCTCCTGGAGTTACCCAGCAAGCTGACATTGGACGAGCCTCTCTCTCTCTCCCCGCTGCCCCCGGACAGCAGCCACCACTGCGCATCTGGATGTGGGCTCACACAGCCCTGAGTCTGGCCCCAGCCAGGCATGGTCCGTCCTAGTGGCTCAGGGGGCAGAGGCTAGAGCCTCCCTGCTGCTGGTCTGAAGCTGACGCAGCGTCCGGGGGCTCAGCCACGGAACAGGACTGCTGTCGGTTGGCCTGTAAGTCCCAGACCAGGGGGGTCCCACACCGGCCCTGCCCTGGCTGGCTGATGTCCCAGTAGGAGCACTGCGGCCCAGTGTGAATGCCATGGTGGCCCGGGGTCCTGGGCACCTTGGGAACATGCCAGGCTCCGCTGCAGCTGGGCTCCCCCAGGCCCTGGGGCTCTGCCAGCCCTGGACATCTCCCTTCTGTGCCCAGCAACCCCACACCTGGGCCCCAACAGGTGAACCAGAGCCAGGAGCCAAGCCACGCACGACTTCAATGGGGATCCCGCCAGGCAGGGCCGAGACACGCGGCTCAGCCTCCCATGCTGGCAGGGTCACGGGCTCGAGCACAAAGCTGGGGAACACACGTCCCTGGCAACGGGCTGTCCCCCACGAGCGGACTCCATCTCCACCCCGGCCCGGCCCTCAGCACTGGAGCCGGTGGAGGGCAAGGAGTCAGGGCCCGCGACCCCTAGGGCCGTCCCATCCTCCCACCGCCTGGTCAGCTCCCGGCACCTCCCCCTAGAAGCCCTCAGCAGCCCCAAACCTGCCCCCGGTGTCCCCGTCCACCCCCAAAACATCCGGGCTCCAGAACTCCGGCAGCAGAGGCGCACGAAGAGGCCATCTCCTCTGGAGCCCAGGATGCCGGTGCGAGTGGGGCCCGGCCAGAGCCCTCACCAAACCGCAGAGGATGAGCTCGGCTGCGCAAGCCTTGTCCGACCTTCACGAGGGCCTTGGGAAGAAGGTGGCATGGCTGTGCCCCCCTCGTAAGGGAGACACCGAGGCTCGGAGAAGGGGCGGGTCGCCGACGCTGCAGCGCCCGTGAGCAGCGGGGCGGGGAAGAGAGCCCGGGGACTCTAGTCCCCCAGGCGGGCTGACACCCGGGCCTGGACAGCAGGTGAAGCGGCAGGAAGGCAGTACCAGGGTTGAAGAGGACGATGGCGCGCAGGCAGCCCAGCTCCGTCTTGTCCATCTGCATGTCCCGCATCTTGGACACCAGCTCCGTCAGCACCCTGTGGGGGAAGCGGGCAAATGCTGACGTCCCCAGTCAGACCACGGCCCTCACAGGACCCGCCAGGAACCCCAAAGCGCTCGGGAGGCCCGCTGTGGGCCTGGAGGGCAGCTGAGAAGAGCCAGGAGACCGGGGGAGCTGCCCAGCCTGTCCCATCCCGCCCCGGGGGCGCCATGCCTCTTCCTCAAGAAGGTCTGCGAATGGGATTTTATCTTGGGGGGCCAGAGACTAAAGAGGAGCCTCGTGACAGCCGGGCGAGCCAAGGCCCCGCACGTCCAGGGCAAAGCCCACTGCCACACGCCCCACGGGGATGCAGGCCACACACGGCGGCCTGAGCGCCGCATTCCTGCCGCTCCCCGGAGCCCGCCCGCGGGAAGGCATTTCCCCAGCTCCTGGGCTTCCCGGCTCCTTCCTTGCAGCCGGAGCGGGCTCCGTTCCACTTCCCGACACCGGCCACTTATTACATTCCCATCACCGTCCCCTCTCTAGCAGCTGGAAGCACAGAACTGTCAGCTGGGTGCGTGACTGGGGCCGCACTTCTAAACATGCCCCCAGGGGACGTGCTCTCCAAGAAGCCGTCGGTGGGCAGCAAAGCCCGCGCTCCACAGCCCCTTTGGGTGGCACTACTGGACACGAGCTCGTTAAAGGCCCTGAAACGTCCTGCGGCAAAGACACATCCCTACACTGTCTAAACCAGTGCTTGCCTACAGTACGTGGTGCCCTTCTGTGCTCCCTGAGCTGTCCCACGGGGCAGCAGGCTCCCACATTTATCCCCAGGGGGCTACAGGAGGGGCTTCTGCTGCTCCCCTCTAACTTCAAGCTCCCTACTCGGGGGCTCGCCTGGGACCCCTCCCACCACCATCCCCACCCCCCACGCCCTGCCACCCGCTCCTTCCCACTCACCACTCCTGTGCCACGCCCCCCACACCCGAGGGACCCTGGGACGCCCCTCCCCAGCCCTTCCCACTCCGGCTGGCTGAGCTGACACCCAGGTCCCCAGGTCCTCCGGGCTCTTAGGCAAGGCCCAGAGACAGGAATGAGTAGCTCCCGTCCGCCCTGCCTGGTGCAGCGCAGGTGGGCCATGATTCTGGAGGTACTTGAACGGAGCCCCCTACCCACTACCCAGCACTGGCCCCCCGGCTGTGTGCCGAGGGGCAGAGAGCGGTGTCTCCACCGGGGACACGCCAGAAGCAGCGCTGAGATGCAGCCGGGCACCCGGGGACAGGGTGCGCACGGGCTCACAGGCGCCGCGATGCTTTTAGTCTCAGCTCGTAAGAGTCTCCGCCGCATCCGACATGACAGCAGCACGGAACGGTACCTACGGCACAGTCTACCTTTGCATTAAAAATAGGGCAGCTTTCCTTCCCACGGGCAGGACTTGAAAACATACTTGGAGAAAAGTAAACCAAAAACGTCAGCTGCGGCTGTCGGGGGTCCCCGGAGGGATTTTAACCTCAGTCCTTGCACGTCTCTGTATCTCTGCAAGTGTAACCCTCGTGAACAGGACAAAGGCCAAGCAGGTCACGGCCGTGGGCTGGGCTGGGCCCCCACCTGTCAAAGATGGCGCCCACCCCCGCGCTGTGGGCGCTATTGCGGTGGACGTGCAGCCCGGTGGCCAGGAGGATGCCGTCCTTCACGGCTATGGAGCGGTGGGAGAAGGAGGCGATGAGCAGCTCGTTCCAGCCTGCGGCGGGGAGAACACACGGTCACTGCTGTCTCCAGACCCCCGGGCCGCCCTGCCCCCGACCCCCGTTGGGCCCCCCAGAGGCAGCTCTCACCCTCCCAAGCCACGGTTCCCAAAGTGGGCTCCATGAAACCCCGAGCCCATGACCGTTCCACAGAAAGGAAGTTCCCGAGCATGGACGTTTGGGGGATGCCTCTACAGTGCGTGCAGTAAAGGCCCTGAGAAGTCCTGCACAGAGCATGTCCTGTGGCGTAGTTTAACCCAGGCTCCCCAACTAGGGTGCCAGGGAAGTCTCTCTCTGTGAGTGCCAGACGCTTGCGCCACGGAGCACAAGGGAGCTCCCAGGACCCTCTCCAGGCGGCCCTGGAGCAGCTGCCGCCAGTCTGGCCCCCCGCGGCAAACTCCCAGAGACTGACATTTTGTGGATGCCACAAAACAGCAAAGGCCAACTCGCCGCTCTCTCTACGTGAGGCCCTGGCGCGCCCAGCACAGGCGCAAGGGCTACAGAGATGGATGGAAGCGATTCTGTGAGCAGGTGTCTCGATGACCCTATAACTGAACAGCATGAACATCCCACAGGACTGTCACTAGTGCCCGTCCCAGCCACCACTCCTGAGCGCCCCGAAGGTTCTGGGCTGGCGGCTGCCAGCATCACAAGGATCTGCCCACTGAATGCTGATTCAACCCTATAAAGCAAGTATTGGCCCCGTTTCATACAGAGGAACATTGAGGCCCAGGGAGAGGAAGGGGTGCCTGGTCGGTGAATCAGAATGCCCTCCGACCCCGGGTCCCAGACTTTCCCAATCCCTGCGGGTCTGACGGCTCTGGGTGTTGGGTTTTGTGCCCCAGAGTGAAAACTCCTCTGGGCACGGGCTCTCCCCGCCCCCAGGTTCAGCGCGAGGGACACCCCGCTGGCCAAACACCAGGGCCAAGGACCAGAGCTCTGCGAGGGGCCGGACCAGCCCCCCAGCGCCTGCCCTACCTGCCACTCTGCGATCACTCTGCCTCTCTCCCTCTCATCCCCCACTGAGGCCCGCCCAGCCCCTTCCTACCTCTGACCCTGCTGCCACCTGTCCTCCTGCCCCATGAGTGGGCCCGGCAGGCGCTGGGCTGGCCCGATGCTCCTGTGGCTCCCAGCACAGGCCCGGAGCACGCGTCAGCAGGTGCACACCGCAGGGCCCAGCGCCCCGGTGGGGCGGGGCTCCCGCCCAGCACCTCCCAGCTGGCCCGTCCCTACTGGCTCTCTGGCAGGAGCTTTGCGCCAAGGACCCCAGTGTCCCAGCAGAAACCGGCTTCCACGCGGCAAGGCCGTCATGCCCACTTTCCAGATGAGAGAACGGCCTGGAGGGCGGGCGGCTGCCTCGTCGGGACTCCAAAGCCGCCGCTCCCATCCCCCGCCCCCGCCCGCCCCCAGGTCCCAGGATCTCCCTCACCACCCGTTCGGCCGTGGGGTGTGTGCTGAGCACCGAGCGAGCTGTTTTTGCACCAGCTTCGCGCATCGCAAGCCCAGCCTGGGAAAGGGGCTGCGGCCTCAGTCGGGGGAGAAGGCAGAACACACAGACCCCCAAGGGCAGCCCTTGCTGGACATGCTCACCCCTCCCTCTCCACAGGTCCCCCAGACGGCCCGTCACCCCTCTGAAGGCCACTAGGAGAGACCCCAAACTGAATCCTTCCTTATGAGGGAGAGGAGGGAAGCCCAGGCTGCGGTGGGCAGTGCCGGAGCAGAAGCCCCGGCCCGTGCCCCTTCCCCTGCGGCCCCACGCAGCAGCAGGAAGGCCGCGTCCCACCCGCGGGGCCGCAAAGCCCCCACCCCTCTCCTGTCCACGCCTGCCCAGCCCCCGCCAGGCCCGGCCACTCACCTGCCCGCAGCAGGATGACCTGGTCGTCCAGGGGCAGCTCGGAGAAGTGTGGGATCCGCTTGGCCCACTCCACCAGGGTGAAGAGCTGCTTGTCGGCCGCCTGGCAGATGTTGGTGACGGGGTCATTGGGCTGCGGGAAGGGGCACCGCGTGAGCACCGAGCAGAGAACGCAGCCCCAGGCCAGGCCACGCCACACGCCTTACCCGGCAGTGGCGGCTGAATAATGCCCCCGGCGACACCCACGTCCTATACCCCAGAACCTGCTAATGTGCCACCTTACCCGGCAAAGGGAACTCTGCAGACGCGGCCGGGTTAAGGGTTTGGAGATGGGAGGTTACCCTGGAAGAAGTGGGTGGGCCCAGTGCCATCACGAGGGTCCCTACTGGAGGGGGGAGGAGGTCAGAGCGGAGAGAAGGCGTGAGGACGGAGGCCGAGGTCGAGGAGGGAAGACGCTGCCGGCCCCGAAGCCGGAGGAAGGGCCGGGAGCTGAGGAACGCGGGCAGCTCCAGAGCGGGGTCAGGCCAGGCAGCAGCTTCTCCCCGAGAATGGCCAGCCCTGCCGATGCCCTGACTTGGCCCAGGGCCACTGAGCTCAGCCTTCTGACCTCGAGAAGCGTGAGATACTAAACTCTGTGCTGTCTTAGGCACTTCATTTGCGGTCACTTGTCCTAGCAGCCACAGGAAGGACACCGTGCTACGACCCACTCGGTCCCCACCGCAGCCCCGGGGGCTGGGGCCGGGTGACCCCGTGTCACAGGCCAGACTCGGGGGTGGCACTCAGAGAGGGTGCATCAGAGGCCCCTCCAGAAAGTTCTAGCCAGAAGGGGACGCCCCGGTCATTCTCAGAGACGAGGAAACCTGGGCGGCCTCCGCGGCACCCTGCTGCTCCCGGCTCCAGCCTGTGGGGCTCGGGTGGAGAACCCTCTGGGCCCGGGGACAGGGGGACCGAGGCCCGTGCACGGGATGTGGAAACCCCTCATTCCAGAAACCATGACGGCCAGGCAGCCACACGGGGGAGGCCCCCTCGGAAGAGCTTCCCCTGACGGAAACCATCCGCCCCCCAGTGACGCAGCCTGAACAACCCAGCCCCGTGAAGGGCCTGCTGAGGGCTCTCGTGGGAGGCCCGGTGACCAACTGGCACCGAGGCCACCGGGGCGGACAGAGCCAGGCGAACAGAAAGGGGACCTGGGACCCCGGGAGAGGCGGCAGCCGCGGGGCGTGGCCAGTTGGTCCGCGGACCTCAGGGGGAGGGGCAGACAGGCACCAGCCGCTGGGCGCCCCCGCCCCCACCTGCTCTGCAACAAACCTCCCAGGAGCGTCAACCGGAAGTCCACACACTCGCTGGGCCCCGGACACCACGTGCCCAGGACACCCTGCGGGCATCGCCCGCCCCATCCCGTCTGATGGACAGCGGCAGCCACGGGCACTCACACGAGCGAAACACCCAGCAGCTAGCGTGCCAGAGGCCTGGGCCAGGTTCTCGCCGGAGCCACTGCGGCCAGGCTGCGCTCCCCGGGGACCGTGCTCCTTGCCCTTCCACGCCGCAGGGCAGCCCCTCGAGGTGAGAGCACAAGCCTGATGGTGGGGGGCATGGGGGAGCCATGCAGGGGGAAGCGGGGGGCGTGGGGAAGACCCGAGGAGAGCCCCAGCGGTCGGGCCTTCTCCCTGGGCACCAGCCAACGGCTCCCTCCGAGCCCTCAAGGGGCCCAAAGCAGGTCCGGGGCACAGGCTGTCACCCTGAGCCACTCCCGGGCAGGCCGGGGCCTTGTAGGTGAGCACAGTCACGCCTAGAGCTGGGGGCGACGTCTGCCTGCACAGTGGGTGCAGGACTAGGCCTGGGGGGCTGCCCTGGGGGAGGGGGCTCCAGCTCTGCCGTGCTCCGTCCCGCAGGGTGGTCTCCAGCAAGTACTTAACTTCTCCGAGCCTGGATTCCCGCTCAGAGACAAAACAGGCCTCATTCAACGGCAGTTTCTGGAGTTCCAGCCCGTGCCTGAGAGGGCGGGACCTTCCCTGTGCTAGGAGGTGACAGCGGGATCCCCAGGCAGAGGCCCGAGGCTGCCCCAGGGCAGAGAGGTGTCGCCGGTGTCGAGAGAAGGGGCCTAACAAGCCGTCCCCAGAGCGGGGGACCCAGGCCAGCCCAGCTCAAGCTGCAGCACGAGGGCAGACCCGCTGCCTGGCCGGCCCGCCTGCCTGTCCCCTAGACCCCCCTCCGCCTGCTCTGAATTCGTGGAGAGAGAAGATGGCAGATTTGTTTTCTTCCCAATAACGTCCTTACTTGACAAAATCAAAAGCTGGCAGGCCAGGACTTCTCTTTCGGGGTTTCGACTCAGTCGTGAAGCCCTCCCCACCCCGCACTGGGACCGGAGAGGGGGCGTGGGGTCGGGCCGGACCACAGACCAGACGGACCGCTGAGCATCACAGCCGACGGGAGTCATTCTACGAGAGGCCGAGAGGCGGCGCGCCCAGGAGAGGGCCCGCCTTCCCTGGCACGCAGCCGAAGCGGGCGTCTCAGAGGGGCCGTGGTCCTGGGGCATCACAGAGTGCGGGGCAGCAGGGCGGCCTGCAACCCCCCACAGATGAGACGGGACCCTCACACTCGGAGATGGGGGTGGGGGCCACGTGAGAGCACCTACGGGCAGGGCAGGGTCCCGTGGAACAGCCTGATGGCAAGGATGGAGAATTAACCCACTGCACACGCTGCGGTGTGGCCCCCACGTGCTAGGGGCCGTGAAGAGTAACGTCAGGGGCGCTGAGCCCACAGAACAGGGGCACCAGGGGGGTCAAAGGGAAAGGGGCTCCGCGAGGAAGTGACACCTCTCTGAGGCTGAAGCCCGAGGAGGAACAGAGGGAGCGGCACGTGCAAAGGCCCTGGGGTTGGGGCAGGGAGCTGGGCAGGTGCGTCCGGTGCCGTCTGGGCCACCGTGAGCCGGGGAGACCTCAGGGCAGGCCACAGGGCTGTGGTCCCACCCCGACCACACACGGGAGACATAGATGAAGTCTGGACCTAACGCTGCCCGCAAACCTGGGGCAGACACAGAACCCCTGAAACCCAGCTGGACGATGGGCCAGAGACAACACGAAGCTTGAAGGTTACCATAACGTCCTGGGCTTTGAGCCAACCAACCAAAACCTCACCCACCCGACTGGGGACATCACAGAGGGGGTCTCCCTCCCAGGAGCGCGCCGGGGCCACCGTCCCCAGAGCAGGGCGGGGGTGCACTCACCGAGCTGGGGTTCAGCCCCACGTTTGCCTCCACGTACGTCTCGGTCTTGGGCTCGACGGCCAGCTCGGCCTCCAGGATCTTCTCCACGGGCATGTCCTCGTTGGCGCTGCTAGTGGACTCCACCTCGTTCTCAGCCCGGTCCTTGCCCCGCTGCCGCTCCTCCTGCACAGCTGAGGCACGGGGAGGCTTCCAGTCAGCCCGCAGCTCCCGCGGCAGCCCCTCCGCCGCCAGGGCCCGAGCAGCGCGCCCACAAGCTGGCCAGGGCCGGGGAGAAGGATGCTGCTCAGAGCCGGCCAGACTGCGGCCCCCTTCTCTGCCCCAAGCCTGGCCTCCTGGAGGCTGTGCGCTCTGAGAACAGAACACGCTGCCTCTCATTAATTCATTCACTTACTGGTCACCCCAGGACCCGCCCAGGGCCAGGGCAGATGGGACCCAGCTCTCAGGAAACTGACAGTTCAACAGGGATCCCAACGTGGAGTGAGAAGGGCTTTGATGGGCTACGGACTGAGGCAAAGCCAGGAAGGCTTCCCGGAAAAAGTGACAATGAAATTGAAGGAACGGGAAAAATAGGGAGAGCAATTCAGGCACGAGAGGTAGCACGCGTCAAGGCCTAGAACCAGAGCAGAAATGCCGCTGAGGAAAGGGCCTCTCACGTCAGCTAGGGAGCAGAACAAGGGGTGCAACGGTGGGGAGCGTGGCCGAGAACAGGGTCCAATGTGCCCCAGGAAGAGGATGGGGTGAGATGCAGATCTCTGATGGTCCCTTTCTGCTGCGGGGAGGAGAGGGGCTGGGGGAGAGCACAAGCTGGGTCAAACCCAGGCTTGAGACGGGACAGCCCAGGCCGGCCGGGCGGGTGCGGGGGTCCAGCACGAGGGTAGAACCTGAGCAGATGCTGCAGTCGGGGCAGCCTAGTTTCTGGGAACCCAGGGAGAGAAGCTGATGGGAGGAGGCGAAGAGGGAACGGTTCATTCCAACACATCCCCGCGGAGACCCAGGTGGGAGGGAAGGCTGAGGGGACCAGGCACCCCACGGCTGGGCGTTCACAGACCCTCGACTTCACAGCCCATGCAGCTCAAGCCGCCCTTTCCCAAGAGGGGCCGAGACCTCCCTGAGGTCACCCAGCAGGCCCAAGGCGACGCTGAACCAGAGCCAGGCTGTGGACCCCACCCAGAGCCCCGCAGAAACACAAGAAGGCTCCCGGGGGCTTCTGCAGCGCCCTCTGCTGGCCCTCACACCCCCGCTTCCTCTGCTGGGGACACCAAGGGCCCTGGACCAGGGGAAAGGAGGCCTGGCGGGGTGGGAGAGGCTGCCCACACAGCACCAGCACGGGGGAGCCCCTGGGCGTATTGGGCCTGTGCCTCCCCAGGGACGCGCCAGATGCCACTAAGCGAGGGCCGCAGCGCCAGGACGGGGCCCGCCACCGCCGCCGGCCGCCCTCCCTTGGTCCTGCTCTGCTGAGCCAGAGCAGATGTCCAGACGTCCCCCGACACTCCCAGGGCGCCCACGGCCTCCTCAGGACCAGCTCCTCAGCCCCCACCCCACACAAGGCTTCCTGGGGCCTCTGGAGACCCCAAGGCAGAGCAGGAGCTTATGCGAGGCGATTTCCCGAGGGCGGCAGTGAAACCTCTCACACACTCCCAGCCCCACCGAGGGGAAGGCCCTGCACGCAGCCCCCAGCATGGAGCCTTCCGGAAGCCGGGAGGGCGCGGCCCCTCGGGGGACTTCCCACGTGCCATCACCCCTCTGGGCCTCCGTCGAGGCTTACCCTCCCCTGCAGGAAGTCTGGACCAGACAAAACACAGTGCCCTGCTCCCGCAGACACCGCTGTCACGGGACTGCCCCCCACGCGTACCTCCAGACCCACCTGCCCTGCCCAGCTCCGGGGCCCGAGCTTGGGGCCTCACCCCGGGCCCTCTCACCCTTGGCCTCGGGTGGGTCTCGCAAACGCAGGGGACCAGCAGGAGGGAGGAGGGGGTCCGCGGCTCTGGCGCCCGCCCTGCCCGGCCACGGTTCTCAGCGGTCACTTCCTCCTCAGGCCACAGCTCTAGGGGCTCTGCCGGCCCACCCCCGCTCCGTCCTCCAAGCCTGGGGGTGTGAGGGCTCCCCTCTTGCTCCCTGGGGGTCCCCCGGGCCCGTGCAATTCTTGGGACACCGCCCACAGCTCTGCAACAGTACACGTGGACCCCTCTCCACCACGCCGGCCCCGCCGACGACCGTTCAGACCCTCTCCGGGCTGCGGGGCTCCCTGAGGGCCGGCCCTGCATCCTTCCCGCCTTCACAAATGGCTATTTAGGGATGGCCCCTGCCAGGGGCTGCGCTCTCCGAGACGCAAACGCTGACTCGAGCGAGAGCTTCTCCATCCGTGTGGCGAGACTCGGGACAGAGGGCCGGCCCACGCTTCAGATCCACCAGCTGGGCCCCGGGGCCAGGCGGGAGGCCTCGAGTCAGAGTTTTTGCAAGCCTGGTGCTTCTGGAAAGTCTGAAAGCCGGTGGGGCTGGGTGGGGAGCTCAAGCTGGCCGGCCTGGCTCTGGCCTCTTCCGACACAGCGGATGCCGGGCTGGAGCAGGGCCCCTCCTCGTGTCGCCGTCTGCTACAGGGGACGGGGTCACAGACCAGAAGAGTGGACCCGGTGGGCGGCAGCCACAGGCTGATCTGGAGTGATGGGGACCCTGGCAGGCCGGTGTCCCTGAGACCCTGAGGGTGGGGGTCCCCAGGGTCTGTCCTCTGAGCAGAACCCTAACTCCTCAGAGCCGGGACACAGCTGAGAGGCACGTTTGAGCAGGTGGGGAAACAGGCCCAGAGCACCAAAGGGGTGTGGCTGAGCCCTCAGGAGAACAGGCGGCTTCAAGCTACAGGCTCTGGAATCAGACGCTGTGTGGCCCCGGGCGAGTCCCTAGCCTCTCAGTGCCCCAGCTTCCCCAGCCACAGAGGGACGAGGTTGGCACCGGCCTCCAGGCTGGACCCGCAGGAGGCGCCCTCGGGACGCTCGCGGCTTCGTCCCCGCGCACGGCCCCCATGACGCGGCCCAGTTCAGGGGCTCTCCTCCCCTTCCAGACGGGACAGGGTGGCAGGTGGGGGTCCCTCAGCACTTGCCTCCTACGTGGGGGCGTCCGGAATTAATTCGCGAGCGCTCTGTGAAGCGCTCTGAAGCCATGAAGGGCCGGGCCGCTCCGAGCAGCATCGTTACAAATGTTATTGTTTTATTTAAACACGGGGGGTGGGGGGGCAGGGGGGAGGGGCTGGGGATTCATGCTTTGCCAGCTCGACCACCTCTTAGACGTGGCTGTGTTTGACTTATGTCCGCTGGCGCCGGGAAACCTCGGGTGGGAGGCGTCGGCCAAGACAGGGCCTCGTTATCCTCCCAGCCCCGAGCCACGGGCGGACGGGCCGGCACGGGGAGGGGACGCTGCCGGGAGGGCAGAGGAGGCCAGGCCCCCACGCCAGGGATCCCCAGGAAAGCCCCCGGGGCCGACCCTCCCCCAGCAGCCGAGCACGCGCCTGGGAGGGGCACTCAACGCCCAGCATAAGCGGGGTCCCCGGCGTCAGGAGACAGCTGGTGCCGGACGTCCTGGGGAGCAGCAGCCCACAGCCAGGGTGGGAACCCCGTCCCGTGACCTGCACAGTGCCCACTGCCACCCTCCGGCTCCTGGGGCCGGGCAGGAAGCCGCGAGGTGGGAGGGGTGTCTGGGCGGGGTGGGGGTGGGGGGACCACAGGCCTGCCGCCTCCTTTGCTTTGGCACCGCCGGCGGCTGGGCCCTTCCTCCATCCCCTGTATGGCCCCCGGGGCAGGCAGGGCTGCACTTCTCCAAGGGCTCTGGCCCGGCTGCCTCTTCTCAAGGCTGGCAGGGCATGTCCCTGTCAGAGGTCACAGGGCGAGTTATGTCCCTCGAGCTCGGAGGACACATCCCTCCTTCCCTCAGGGGGCTCAACCCAGGACAAGACGCCTGCACACAAGAATGATCACGTGCAACATACACGGGCACGCACACGGGTTCACACGCTTGCACACACGCTGCGGCCCCCACTCTCTGACCCCACCACCCGCCAGGCGCGGGGCTGGCACCCGCCACGTTCCCCCCAACAGGCCCTTCGGGGAGCCTGCCGACACCCCCATGCACCGCGCGGAAACTGAGACTCGGAGAGGCAAGGCCACGCGCCCCACCCGCACAGGGAGGCGGGGGAACCAGCGGGGGCCTCTCCGCAGCCGCTGAGGGGCCATGTCCGCTGGCACACACGCATCGGGCACTGCCGTTTCCACACCCCAGTCCCTCGGAGGCAGGGGATGGGGCGCAGGAAGGAAACGGGGAGAGGCCTTCCTCAGAGAGGAAGAAGGAAGCAGAGGCGGGGCAGCGGGTGACCCTCCAGCCTGCTGCTGTCAGGTCTCCCCCCTTCAGACGGGAGCACAGGCAGGCCCCCGAGCCCTGCAGCGGCACGCTCAGCGGACAGGCCCGGGCTCAGCCTGGGGAGGGCTGGCCCGCGGGGCAACTCCCACCTGGGCCCCACCAACCCCGGAATGCTGCGGAACGAGCCCCCAGGGGCTGCGTGTGTGCGCACGCCCCTGCCGTTGCCCGACACGAGACGCCGTGGGCCTGCCGCGTCCCTCCTTACCAGCGCGGGGGCAGGGTGCCTGTCGGCCCTCCCTGCGGTCGGCCGGTCCAGGGGCCAGCCCCAAGCCTGTGCCCCACCTGCCCCAGGGGTGTGATCAAAGCCTCTCCCAGGGGTCGTGCGGCACTGAGGCCGGTCAGCATGGCCGCCCGCGTGGGGCTGGCACCCAGGAGGGCTCAGGCCGGCCCTGGGGGCGGACAAGCCACATCCTGTGTGCTCCCAGCCAAGGCTGGGGTGGCACTCCAGGCCCCCGTCCCCCTGGGCCCCACTGGGCCCCAACTCATGCTGCCACCAGCCCTGCCACCGCCAGGGAGCCCTCCTGGCGGGGGTCGCCCGAGGACAGCAGAGAGGAAGGAGGCTGCCTCAGGACCGAGCCCCCTGCAGGGCCGGCACTGAGGCTGCGCCGGGGCCACCGGTCACTCCTCCCGAGAGCGAGGCAGTGGGCCGGGCCCCGCAGGCGACGGGAAGCACGACGGGCGCTGCCACCCACGCCAGGACAGAGCCTCCTCCCGGGGCAGTTTTACATTGTGTTGGGAGCAGGAGAGGGCGGTGTAGGAGGGTCCTGACCGCCTGCTCGTGACCTATAAACCCAGCAGGAGGCAAGGGGGTGCGGGGGGTCCTGACGGGATCCGGTATTTATCTAATGGCCCATAAATCAGGTCTGCCTCAGGATCTCGCCCAGCGCTCCCCATTTATGCACCAGACGAGAGACGGGCGGCGCGGCTCCGGCCCAGGCAGACGGGAGCAGCCTGGCCCCGCCAGTGTGGCCCTGAGACCTCCGCGAGCGCCCCTCCCCCCTGCACCCCATTTCTCCACCCAGGAGGTGTGGGAACAGCGTCACAGCACCACGGCTGAGAGTGTGTGCGACAAGGACAGGGCCCCCAGAGAGGCTCCGCACACGGCAGGCGCTCCTACAGCCCCCGGTGAGCACAGGGGAGGGGTCGGACCCGGTGCCCCCCCAGCCCCGAGCCTGCAGCTCCACTGGGACAGGAGAGGGGTGTCATCCACTCTCCCCCAGGCCTTGGGGGAGCAGGCAGCTGGGGTCTGCCCCAGGCTGACCTTAGGAGGGGGTCAGCGTTTCCGGGAAAGCCCTGGGGACCCGTGGACGGTCACCCCCTGGGGCCCCACAGTGCCACATCCACTGAGTTTCTCGGCCTCGGCGTGCGCTGACCCCGGCAGCTGGGCACGGGGTCTGCCAAACACTCTTCCACTCTTCTGGTGTCAGCTGGACATCTGCCCACCCAAGCCTTGCCTGATGTCCACGGCTGGGCCAGGGGCCCACTCTGGGCTCCCACAGTGCCCTGGGCTTCCCCCAAGGCAGCACTGATCACACCTGGGGGGCCCTGCCTGGCTGTCCGACGGTCACTGTGAACGGACGGATGCCCATGGCTCGCTGCTGTGTGCCCAGCGCCCGGCGTGGTACCAGGTGCCCGGGGTGGCCAGCTCAGCAGGAGAGTGATCTCACTCTACACCGTGGTGCCCACAGGGAGCCCCGAGCCGCAGCTGCATGTCAGGGCCCCACCTCCCCTCAGCACACTGGCACCTCCCCTCTGGCCAGGCTCCACATCTGGATGCAGACTGATCCGCTGCCCACCACACGCTTGCCCCCTGCCCAAGTTTCCATCCTTCAGGAACCACGCTGCACTCACCACCTCCAGGAAGTCTACCCTGACTACAAAGGGTGGCCAGAGGAACCGGGGCTGGGCACAGGCCTCCCCCAGCCAGGCATATGCTTTCTCTGCCCTCCTGATGGTCTAAAGGAATAGATCTGCACTGGAAGCCAGAAGCCCAGGCTCCAGCCCGACATGTGACCTTGGACAAGCCCTGGACTCTCTGGGCCTCAGCTTCTCCACCCACACAAAGAAGGGTGGGCCAAGGTCTCCATGGAACACGTACCCTGCCTGATCAGGAAGGCCCGGAGCCCAGGCCGGCCCCTCGCTCACGCTGAAGCCCAGGAGGCACCCCGCCCCTCACCAGCGGCTACCACCGAGCCCCATCACATCACTGCACTGCACAGGCAGCCTCGCGGCCTCAAGGAGCAAATCCTGCAGGACCACACGGCCCAGCTGAGGTTTCGGTTTCTCAGCAAGAACAAGTGGGGCTGAAGAGAGAAACAAGGGAAAGGAGATGAAAACTGCAGTCCCCACGAGAGAACAGTCCTCGGTGGTGAGACGCCAGCCCGAGACCCCGACAGAAGCCGGTGGGAAGGAGGCAAGCCACGCGTGGACCATGGGAACAGCCGCAGCGGAGAAGGGATCCCAGACAGCACCTCCTAAACCCGCGAGGCCCCAGGCGCGAGACACTCGAGCAGAGACGCAGACCAAACCGAGAGCCGCCACCCAGAATACAGGAGCCGCCGAACCTGCGCTGGGGAAACCGAGGCCCACGGACGGCCAAGGGCCACGAGCAGCCACCCTGGGCTCGGGCCCAGGTCTGGCTGGACAGCTTGACAAGCTCAGCGACCTCAGGGGAGCGGCCTTCCGCGCTACACGCCCCCACCCCCCCCCAATAAACGTCACAACCCAAGGCCGAGAGACCCGCAGCCCGAGTCCCTCTGCTGGGAGGACCTGGGGTCGCCAGGCACCCCGGCCAGATCTGCAGGAGGAAGCACAGCCCAGGACCAGCTGGCGTCCAGCAGGCTTGGGAACGTCCCGATGGTCTCTGGAGTTCCCTGCCCCACCCCCGGCCCGGGTCTCCTCGACCGGCCCCTACTGCAGCGGGAACGAGGCTCCAGGACCCGCACGCACGCCTTCCCGGGCTCACTCATTCAGCGCCCGCATCTCCCACCCCCAGCCTTGGCTCCCGCTGCTTCTGCCTCTGCCTCTCCCAGAGCCCAGGCACTCGGCCGGGCCCACTGTGACCTTGAAGAGGCTCTGATCAATGTCTGTCCCCAGCGGGGCTGGGAGCCACCAGCAGGCAGGACCGAGAGTGTCTCTTCCGTAATCCCAGAGCCTAGCACACAACAGGTACTCAGGAAAGAGCCGGTAAGTGAGCTCACAGCCCCCGGAGAGGTGCTGCCAACAGAGCAGCAGCCGCCGCTTCTGGAGGGAGTGAGCACCCCGTCATCAGAGGTATGCAAAGGAGGTCCACGCAACCGCCAAGTCCAGAGCCACACCCTGTGCTCCGAGAGGGGAGAGGGCCAGCACCACCTACCTTCGCGTTTCATGCCCATGGCCAGGCACTTCTGGTAGCGGCAGTACTGGCACCGGTTCCGCTGCCGCTTGTCAATCAGGCAGTCTTTGTTGTCGCGGCAGGTGTAGGTCAGGTCCTTGCGCACCGTCCGCTTGAAGAAGCCCTTGCAGCCCTCGCAGCTGTACACCCCATAGTGCTTGCCTGCAGGTGGGGCGGCCGTGAGCAGCCTGCGGCCAACTGGCAGAAGGGGCTCGTCCCACTGGGGTAAGGGAGCCAGCCTGGGAGCGCAGCAGGGCTGCATCCCGGCCCCACCCAAGACCCGGACCCCGGGGTCCTCGCCGTCTCCGCGTCTGAGATGGCGGCCCGAGGAGGTCGGCCGTCCTGCCCCCGGGGCTCCGGGCTCGGGAGTGGGACGCGAAGGGCCCTTCACCCCGGGCACAGCCCTGCTGCCCCCACGCCATCGTCACCACCACAGCTGCCTCGTCTCTGGAAGCCTCAAAGCCACGCTGCCGCTTACCACCTCCCGGACGTGGACACACTAGAAGGTCCCGGGTGCGCGGCTCGGAGCTCCGAGCAGCCCCCTGTTGGCCGGGGGCCCTGCCGTCCCCACTGTGCCCTCGCGGCCTACCTGAGGAGCGGTCCCCGCAGATAGCACAGATATGCTTGGTGAAGGACGCCATGTTCCCCGAGGGGTGGGCCGGGACTTTGAGGACGCCGTTGAGGCCCAGCGGGGGCTTGATGTCCTCGCTGCTGCTCACGGGGTTCATGGGCGAGTTGAGCTGAGGGGGGGGAAGCCGGGGTCAGCCCTGGCAGGCTGCTGCGAGGCACCTGCTGCTGGGCCAGGAGGTGCTGCCACACACCCCCTTTACTGAGACAGAAACTGAGGCTCAGAGAGGGGCCTCGCCCACCCCAAGCCACGCGGAGCGGCAGGGCCCAGCCCCGCTGAGCGCAGGCAGGACGCCGGGCACCACTTCCTCAGCCAGGCCGGAGGAGGCCGTCCTGCCCTCAGGGCCCGACCCTCCCGCAGGACCCCAGGCTCGAAGGAGGACCCGCAAGGCCCCTGCTCACACCCTCTGCCCCTCGCCCACCTAAATAAGAACTGCCTGCCATTCCTGGGCGATCCCCGACAGGACAGCGAGAGCGCTGGGACCCTCTGGTGAGGCAGGCGCTTTGGGGACTCCCAACCCATAGATGGGCACTGAAGCCTGGTCCCAGCAAGGAGGGAGGAGATCCAGGGTCCACCAGCAGGCCACTCTGCCCCGGCCTCGGCAGGCAGGGTAGGGGTCTTGGATCGTGTGACCCAAGGAGACAGGGAGGAGACAACATCCCTTACACACACACACACACACCCCTCCATCCCTCCCGCCATCCTGACACTGCTCCAGGAAGAAGGGTGGGAAACTCACCAGTCACCCTGGCAACAGCTGCTGCGGCTGCAATGACACAGCAGTTTTGGTTCCGCTGCGCCCACCCCAGCTCTCCCATCAGCGCCAAGGGCCCCGAGGTGCTTCCCGCCGCATCCTGCGCGCCAGCCGGTCCCCACAGGCGCCAGGACGCCAGCTGGGCGGCCCCCCAGCACCCCGACTTCTGCAAACCCCTGACAAAGGCGGAAGTCAGGTCCTACGATGTCTCTGGATGGACTGCAGCTGCCACGCTGCCCCCCGGTCGCCCCAAGCTGGGCCCCTCCTGCACAAGGGAACCTCACCCCCTTCCTTCCCTGCGGCCCCAACCCCCTACTCCCATCCCCCTTTCTCACGGGATGGGAAGAGCCGGGTGCTCAAAGCACAAACCATCCCAAAGGCTGTTTCACACCAGCCCCAGCGCCTGCAGGGATTCTTCCAGCCCTGGACAGGTCTGGATTCTTCTGCTCAGGTGGGCTGTGGTTCTATCAGGTCACTTAACCCCACGGGACTCGTGGGGGGCTGCAAGGAGGCCGGGAGGCCAGCCCCGGCCACCTGGGGCTGTCAAGATGCAGGAGGTGGGGCGAGAGGGCGTCCAGGGGACCCCACTGCACCCAAAGAACACGTACCCCACACCTCCAACCACCCCCGCAGGACCTGCAGGCCTCAGGAGCACCTCCCAGACGAGCCTCAACTAAGCAGGGGCGCCGACTGTTTGCTAAGGGCCACCGTGCACGGCATCTGTCACGTGGAAAGCCCCTAGCGAGCAGGGAGAGCTGCCCTCCCCTTTCCAGAGTGGACACGGAGGTTCAGGGAGGTCAGGGGACCAGCAGAGAGCCCACGGGTGCTAAGTGGCCGAGCAGGTGTGAGCTCAGGCCCCTGGGAGCCACAAGCGCTGACTCCCCGCACACGGCAGAAGGGACAACCAGGGCCCCAGGGAACGGGCCGGCCCAGAGCCCTCGGTGATCCCATCCACCAGACCATCCGCTGAGCAACCAGCCAGGCGCCCGAGGCCCCGAGGAACGCGCCCTGCCCAGCCTGCAGAGCTCGCCCACGGCCGTAGGCGGGACGGCCACAGCTTATCGCGGGATTCTGCCTCCTCTATTCCCTGTGTGACTGCAGGGAAATCATCTAATCGCTCTGGGCCTGACGCTCCTCGCGTAAAAACTGGAGAAAACTGAGTGCCTCCATCCCAGGGCTGCCGCTGGGATGACGGAGCGATTCGCGGGCAGCGCCAGCAGCAGAGCTCCTGAAGCCGGCCTGGGGCGCAGCAGCCTCGGCATTAGCACTCGGGCTTCCGGGGGCCACCGCTAGGCCAGCTGGGCCGCGGACAATGGAAGGCGGCGTCCCAGGCAGAGGGCCCCCCCCACCCCCGGAGCAGACGTCTGGAGGTGGGGAAACCAAAGGACTGTTGGGAAAAGGGGAGGAAATCCGTGCGGCCGGGAGTGGAGGGTCAGCAGCAGGGGCCGGCGGCAGGCCTTGAGGGGCCACTGGGCGCGTGGGAGCAGCGGGCGCAGGCTGGAGGCTGGCCCGAGGCCTCTCTCGGGCTGCGGGAGCCCGGCCGCGACTCCACGCGGCTCTGGATCCGCTAGGCGGCACTGAGGAGAGGAGCTCGGGCGTGTCCTCTTTCTGTGGTTGCTCAAACCATGCCGGGTGGGTAGGGGCCACCTGTCCTCTCTCCCAGGCCCCCACGTGCAGGCCCTCGGGCCCGGCGCCCCCCCTAAGGAAACAGGCAGGCCGCAGCACCAGGGAAGCAGCTGCAGGCAGGATGGATGGAGCCGTCAGTCACGGTCAGTGTCACGGCCAAGCTGGCTCCCAGGCCACACGCTGAGGGCATCCCTGCCCTCCCGGGCTCAGGCTTCCTTCCCGGGGGCACAGCTGTCAGCCCAGAGGCTCTGGGGAGCCCTAGGAGACCCTGCACGTGTGTGAAGATGTCGGCTGGCTGTAGCCCCCTCCTCACCCCGGGCCTGGGGCCTCCACTTCCCTTCTCTGCCTCAACTGGTGGGTCCTGGCACGGCCGCCATGGCAAGGCTGAGGGGGACAGGGGTCGCCCTTCTCCCTCCCTAGCCCCAAGCTGGTGGGCCTTGGACTGGTTCACAGCCCCCAGGACAGAGCGCGGGGTGCCTTGTTCTGACAGACACGCACACCCACCCACCGTGGGCTCAAAGCCCCCCCCACACCTATGGGGGACGGCTCCCCTCCTGCACTCCGTCCCGTGTCCTAGGAGACCCGGGGCACCAACAGCCCCTTCTGGAGGCCAAAGACTCCCTGGCGTGCCCAGGATGGGGTCCCATCCCATTTCCCCTTTCATATCCTTGGCAGGTATCTCAGTTCCCGCAGAGCCTATAGGACTTCCTGAAATAACCACCCGGCTCCATCAGGGCCCCCCAGGCCTCCTCGCCGCCCCCCTCTTCCACACCCACCGTGCCCTTCCTTCCCGGCCCATCACCCACGGTCAGGACGGGGTGGCAGGCCCTTGGCCCCGCTGGCCTCCGTCTGCCCATCAAGGCAGGTGACGAACGCCACGAAGCGCACGTGGCCTGCCGGACGCCCCACCACAGAGGCCTCCCAGCCGCGGTGCCCACGGCGAGGACAGGCAGGGGCCACGCAGGCCCTGCTCCAGGGAGGCTCGCCAGGCTGGTGAGGCCAGGGGACTGAGGCGCCCACACGTGCCAGGCCCTGTGGGCGGGCTCCGGGATGTGGTGGGGAATGCTCCCTGGGCTGATGGAGCCCCCGAACCCGGGGAGAGAGGTGGGGCAACTCGGCAACGGCACCTGAGGTCCAGCCTGGCCCTGCCCAGACCCACCCCCGCGCCGTTTCCATTTCCCTGCAGGGTGGGGTCGAGGAGGCGGCCCTCCCTGACAGCAGAAGTCAGAAAGCCTCACTGGTTCCGGCCCTGTGACTTTGCGGTTGTGGTTTTGAGGCAGGGTGTGGGGGCATGTCCCCCTCGAGCTCCACACACACTTCCATGAATCTGGGGAACCCCAGGTTTCCAAGACAAACTGCTGAAGCCTAGAAGTTGAACTCAGGGCCCAGGGAAGGAGTTATGGGGGCAGGGGTGGAGGCAGGGGTCGGGGGGGCTGAGGCCGCGCACGGGGCTCAGACCACGGCTACACCAACTGCGGCCTGATCGACCTACGGAGGAACAGGCGGACAGCTGACCAGAAGGGCAGCCGCGAACGTCTGGGACACACGCGGTTTGTTCCCCACCCTCACCCCCTCCTAAGCTCCACTCCTGCCCTCATCCCCTCATCAGCCTCACGGGACCTGCGGCCCCTCGCTCACAAACAACCTGCATTCAACAGGCACCCACCGTGTGCCAGGCACCTGGCTGTGTGCAGAGAACAACAGAGAACAGGGCGGACATGGCCCCAAACCGCCACTCGCCAGCACCGCCCACCCTTGCCCCCAGACAGGCTACCAGTGCCCGGGGGCACCAGGCTCCCTCAAGGTTTGGGGGGCATCACTGCCACCCTCGGGCCCTGCCCCCGCACAGCCCTTGCTCCAGACTCCACACCCAGGCTCCTGCCGAACGCGTGCCCGCGGGGCGTGCAGGGCAGGCACCGGGCCCGGGGGCCAGCAAGGAGCCTCACGGGGCCCTCCCTGGGAGCCAGCAGGTGCCGCCTCTGTCCTGGTTCCCAGGGGACAGGGTGCAGGCCCAGCCCTCGTGTGCCCTCCCGTCGAGCAGCATCGTCAGGCTGTGGCGGCCATACGCTCACAAGGGCACGGCCGGGCCCAGGAAGGCAGCCAAGACCCCCGTGCCAACACCTCCGGCCTTCTGCCTGCTTCTGGTGACAGGTGACGTGAGGGGCCACCTGAGGCCCGAGCTCCTCTGCACCCGTCCTCCAGGCACAAAGGGGCTGATGAGGTGGCCCTGGAAGAGCCAGCCAGGTGCTCCACAACCAGCTCTGGACAGGCCCAGCCGATGGAGCGGGGGAGGGCTGTCCTGCAGGCGGCGTGGCTCCGTGGGCAGCAGGGAGCCCACGGGACACGCGGACACGACTAGCTGTGCAGCTCTGGGCCGTGGAGCCTGCGCCCGAGTCCCTCTCTGGCCGCTGTCCCGCAGCCCCGTGGAAACAGCTCCCAGAGCCTGCCCCACGGAGCCCTCCTCTAAGGGGGCCTCCCTCTACGGGGATGAAAGCTGGACCCAGACTTGAACGACGCTCAGAGCAAAGGGGGCCCCACCAATGTCCAAAAGGACAGTTAGAGCCCCAGAAAGAGGGAAGACCCCTGGGATTCAGCAGATCTCCCAGGCGTCCAGTGAGAAATCCACCAGGAAACCCCCAGAGCCAGGAGAGGAGATGCCTAGCAGGGGTCCTGGGCACTCAGGACAGCTCTGCAGGGGTTCAGACGAGAAGCGCCCAGGGGAGGGCGGACCAGGCCTCGGGGGTCCCCACGGCAAGAACTGGCTGAGTCAGGCCCACCAGGTGCCAGCAGCTTCCTGATCTGGACCCAACCCCAAAAGCCAGGCTGTTCAGAGGAGCATCTGGGCAAACACGACCACAGAGACCACCAAGCCCGGCAGATGAGCCTCAGGCCTGGCACCCCCGAGGAGGCAGCGTCTGCCCGAGCCTGGGGGTCGGGGCAGGGAGCACCAAGACACCCCGTGCGGGGAAGGGTCCGGGCCTGGGCACAAGAAGGGCAGGCCAGGGGATGACGGGGCTCCAGGTAGGCGGCTTCAGCCTGAGGACCTAGGAGTCCCCACCCTACAGAGCTCTGAGTCCTAGAGGCAGGTCCCCCCCGCACTGGAGGGGGCCTCGCTGGGACAGAGGGCCGGCGAGGAAGCTTGGTCACTGACCCCCGAGGGCCACGGGCACAGGAGTCGGCCAGACCTGAGCTCAAACCCAGGTGAAAGCTGCCTCTCTGACACTGTTGCCAGAGAGGAAAGGGAGACGTGACAGCACCTGCCTCCCAGGGTCCACAGGACTATGCGGGTAAAGCCAGGCCCCGTCCCTCTGGTCCAGGCCCCGCCCCCGCACTTACCTGGGGGCTGCCGGTGCCGAAGCCCAGGGTGGGTGTGGTGGGCACGGACATGGAGTGGGGGCCCATGGGGGAGCTGATGACCGAGAAGGGCGGACCCATGCCGTTGATGGGGGAGCTCAGGGTGCTGATGGGCGAGTGCAGCTGTCCCGGGGAGCCGAGCGAGGAGCCGATGCCGGGCCCCAGGGAGGGGTGCAGCGAGGGGGCGGCCATGGAGCCGCGCCCCGTGGGGGAGTTGAGGGAAGAGGAGTTCACCTGCGTGGAGAAGTCTGTAAGACAAGAAGCCACAGGAGGCCAGTCAGGAATCCACACCTGAGGGATACAGCCTGGCCCGCTACCCCTCAGGCCACAGCTACCACACCAGGCCGCGGAAGGGCAAGGGACCCCCACTGCAATCCTACGGCTCCCCAGCAACACGAGGCCAGTCCAGCCACGCCCAGAGCTCCCCCCCAAGGCACCAGCCCCACCTGGCCCAACTTTAAGGTTCAGGCTGGGCCCCAGGCAGATGCAGGAGAAGCAGGCTGACAGCTGCTCTCAGATGCCTGTCTGGGCAGGGAGGCCAGATGGCTGCCCCTGGAACCCTCAGCACCCCAGGCCTGTCCACCTGGAACGCCTGGTGGCCGGGAGTTGCCAGCCCCTCTGCCCATCTACTCAGGGGGTCAAGGTGAAAGTCTGGGGATAATAAAAATAATGAAGGCTGACATTTTCGGAACACCCACTGTGTAGCAGAAACAGTGCATGTCCTCAGCAGAGATGAACGCACGCAGTTAGGAGGTACACGGCGGTCCTATTATCCCATTTTACAGATGGGGAATTGAGGCCCTGTGTTCTTACCGCTGCCCACGGCAGGGCAGGCCCAGCACACAGCCTGGGCCTGCTCAGGTACCCCAGCGACGGTGGCCAAGACAACAGGCCCCCAGGCCCCTCTATCTCACGGGGCCCCAAAGAATACAGCTTCCTGTGTGCCCAGGCCTGGTGGCGTGCGGCCTGAGGCAGGGGAGCTTCCAGGCAGGCCTGGTGGAGGGGGCCCAGGTGTGCACCAAGCCCGCAGACGGGCAACCCACAGAGGCTGCGGCAGTGAGAGGCCGGGACCTCCCACACACCAGCCTTTCATGCCAGGGATTTCAAAGCCCCACCAGGCACTAATGGGGCCTCCCCTTCCTACCCTGAGGGCTCAACGAGAAGCTTCCCCAGGAAGGAGGCTCTCCGGGTGAATCCACTGCCCTGGGGCCTGAGCAGACCGTGGGGAACTCAGAGAGGCCCAAATAAGGCAGCATGAGTCAGAGCTGCAGGCCACAGCTAGTCCAGTCCGGCCTCTGGCAGGGTGTCCTGAGCAAGCCACGCCCCCTCGGTGGGCCTCAGCCTTCCCATCTGCAAAATGGTCTCTCGGGCCCTTCCCGCCAGGCCTGCAGTGATCACACATGCTTCTGGGAAGTCGAGCGGGCCACGGGTGTGATCGGGCGGCCCCCGTCCACGTACCCCCAAGTCGGGGGATGTGCCCTGCTTGCACCAGCAATAGCCGCAGGAGAACTTCGCCTGCCTGAACCTCGGCGCGGCCGTGCCCCGAGCGCTCCCTGAGCGCCAGGCTTGGGGCAGGAAGAAGCCTTGTTTGTGCATCGCCCCCGAGTCCTCTCACCCACTTTGGTCACCGGTGCAAACTGAGTCTCGGGGACAGGCTGCAGGACACCGCTACCAACAGTCAGGGCCGGGCAGACCCGACCCCGGCCAGAGCCGAGCTTCCTCCAGGGCCTTGTGAACTTGTCCATGGAGGTGCTGGGCGGTGGCCAGCCGAGATGGAGGGAAACTGGGCAAGACAGGAGGGGCCGGGTACAGGGGGGCGGGGGGCCTCCGGTAAAAAGGGGGGGCCAGGGGAAGGGGCACCAGCCTCCAGCCTCTGCGTGTGGCCCGTCTCCCAAATGCAAAGGTCGGGGCCCGGTTCCTGAGCCCAGCCCCCATCCTCTGAGCCCCAGGGTCACGTGTACAGCAACTGCTCCAAACCAGGGACTGTGAGCCCCTGGGAGGGGCCACCCCGGCCAAGATCCACCTCAACGACCCCCACTCTGGGCCTTTCCTGTTGACACAGAACCTCCACAGCAGACACTTTCCCAGAGCCTGGGTGACAGCGGGCAGGGGGTATTTTCTGGAGTCCTCTGGAGTCTGGCCAGGAAGGGAACGTTAGGAGGAAAAGGGAAAAGTGCCTAAACACCCCCTGCTCGCAGAGAGGCCCCGCCCTGCCCTCCACGTGCACGCAGGCTCTGCCTTTTCCGGGCCACTATCTGTCCCCACCCACTGATAAACAGGAGATGCGATAAGGCGCTATTCTTGAAGCCATACTTTGGACTCGCAGGGGACTTGTCACCAGCGGTCACCACACGCTTATCTGATCCTGGGCTGCGGGACACCAGGCTCAGGCCCAGACCCCACCCTGGGAGCTGCTGACACCCAGCTCTCCCCACCCAAGGGGGCACACGGGGCCTCGGAGGGAGGGGCAAAACCCAACTGCCGACTCCCACCCCCCCCACCGCCGCCCAAGAACCCGGGCCTCGCCAGGCCTGAACCCAGCACCTCACACCGCTTTACACCCTCCATGCCCCTGGGGACCAGCAGTAATCCGTGAGACTCAGGACTCCAGGGAAGGAGACCATGGCCCGGGAGCTCACAGGGACCTCCAACAAGAGACAGGCCCCCGTCCAGGCAGGAGGACATCCCAGCAGCCCCAACACAGGCAAAGGGACTTCAAAGAGCTGCCAGATTCAATTCAGGAAGGCTTGCGTGGAAGAGGTGATGGACAGATCTCTCCCTTGGCACAAAAAGCGTTTCAGGCCATAAAACTGACTCTAAAATGCAAATACCTGGAGTCCAGATAGGGAAGCCATGGAGCAGAGATGGAATGCCCTGGAATGCTCGGCGCCCAGAGCAGGAGAGCAGTAACCCCCTGGGCCCCCAGAGTATATGGGTGTGAAAAGTTACATTCAGTAAAGTTAAAATAAAGAATGTTCTCATGGTAACTGACAAGGGCACAGGCTGCTCCTCGATAGTGAGTTCCCCGTCGCAGCTGTATGCAAGCAGAAACTACAGCCACCACTCAGGAGTGGCCAACCAGGTGGGCCCTGAGGTCCCTCTGAGAGAGGGAAGGGACATTCCCCGCCCCCCCACCCCCCGCCAACAGTCCTGAACTGCACGGGCTCCCTCCGTGGGAGGGAGCCCACCAGGGAGAATGCCCACCAGGACCCTCCTGCCCCCCCCCGCCCCACCCCGGAACCCCTAGCAGGAAGCGGGGGAACCCCCACCAACTCCTTTCTGGTCTCTGCCAGACAGCCTGGGAAGGCAGGGGAGGTGGCAGGAAATACCAACCCCGCTGAGGCTGCCCGGCTGGGGCGGGGGTGAGCCCCTGGACCTCCAGCCCCTCTTCGGGAGCCAGGGAACCCCCGACTCTCAGAAAGGGGAGCTCAGGGCTCCTCCGCGGCCCTTCTGAACCTACAGGGCCGATCAGGGCAGGGTCCAGGCGGGCCACAGACTGGGGTCGAGGGCCCAGCCAAGCAGGAAGCCCAGCGGAGGGAGGGGAGGGACAGGCAGTCCAACCGAAGGAGCACGGGAAGGAGTCCCGTGGGGCTGGAGTGAGCGGGGACTTCAGAGGGGGCCGTGCAGGACAGCACGGAGGTGGGAGAGGGGGCCAGGAGGGGAGAGGGGCACAAAGGGGTAGGGGCGCCCCGAGGGCGCCAGCACCCTACCCTGACAAGAATGAGCACAAATCCGCCCCCCCCCCACTGCCCCGAACCAAAACCCCACCACGGGGTGCTGGAGGGCCCTCGGGAGCTTCCTGGGACGCCCGCCTCCAGACCCCACCTTCCGGAAGGACTGCTTCCCCTGCCGCCCAGGGGAGGGAGAAGTGGCAGCCCACTGGGGACTGTGGTGGGGCCGTGGCGGTCGGGGTTTGGGGGAAGCTCGGGGTGGTTGGTGCAGGGGAGGGGTGGGGCAGGAGGCGTCCACAGGCTCCACGGGGTGAGGGGCCTTCAGGAACTGCGGCGGCAGGGGGTGGGGGACAGACGTGCCCCCGACAGGGGTGTGCCGGCCCTGGTCGGGAAACGCCCACCACTCAGGTTCCCCTTCTGTAAAATGGGTACGCCGACAGCAGAGGCTGCTGCCACAACCCACAGGAGTGGGCCCCACGAGCCCTTGCAGGGTAGGGTTCCAGCGCAGGCCATGTGCCTGCAGAGGGTGGACCTACCACCTCCAACCCCAGGGGGCGTGGCCAGCTCACTGCCTCTGGCCTAGTGTCAGTTTACAGCTCAGGTGGCCTAGCCTGAAATTTCAGCTCCTCTGGGGTCACCCTGCCCTTTCCCCAACGAATGCCCCCAGCCCCAAATCTCAGCCCCCGCTGAGGAGGACACAGGTCAGCTCAGCCCTTACACGTGATCAGGAGAAATTCCCGCCTGCCTCCGGCTCTCCCCAAGAGCCTGGGACCTCAGAACAGGGTCAGATAGGGAGCCCACCGGGCAGGCAGCCTCAGGGGCCCCTACAGAGAGGCCCCCAACGGGCCAGGAGGGACCCAGGCCCAGCAATCCGTCGGCCTGCAGGGACCATTACTCAGGTCCCAGCTCCACACCAGAGCCCAGAGTGGCGCAGACCTGCCCGGACCCCAGGGGAGAGAGGAGGAGGGGCAGGGCGAACCAAGGCATGCACCTCCTTCACCCCGCCCCCCACCGCTCACAGACGCCCACTGGTCACCCGACAGGGGCTCCACCCCCTCCCCAGGCCGCATGGACAGCAGCAGCTGGCCTCTCCCAAGTACTGCTTCCTGGCACCGCCCTACCCAGCCCTCCGTGACACAGGCAGGGATGCCGGAGGGGAAGGGGGCAGGAGGGGGCAGGCCGAGTGGACGCCGAGGAACGGGCAGGACACTGCTGGGTGAGGGACAGTCCCCATGTCTCCAGCAACCTCAGGGCTGCTTGGGAGCCCAGAGTGACTGGGGGCTGCAGGCCCGGTGGACAGAGGCTCCGCCACCATCGTCACCACCACCTGAGGGACCCCTTGCCCTGCTCCCTGCACAGACAAAAGGCTGAAGCCCTAAGAGGCGGATGGTGGCGCTGAATGGCCTTTGCCACAAGTGACAAACGGACGATGTTTCGGGCTCTGATGGCCGTCCTGAGCCGGCCAGGGCTGGTGAGGGGCGGAAGGAGGAACGGGCAGTGGCGGCAGCCGCCCTCACCCAGCACACTCGTACAGCCTGGGGGCACCGTGACCGGGCCGCTGTCAGGGAAGTGGGGAG